TAACAGAATCCCTATTCTGTCCCGGTCACCCGCCCTCAGATAGACACATTCAAAATTAGTTGACTGTGGGATGGGGCCTCTGGTCAGCGAGATGGAATTCTTATAGACTACTGCCACCCCGCCTCCCCGCCCCCCGGGTCTAGACTGGTGCTGTACGGAGAAGCCTGGTGGACAAAGCTGGGTTAAATTTACTCCTCCAGCTTCGTCCAACCAGGTCTCCGTAATGCACGCCAGATCTGCCCGTTCCTCCAGAATTAAATCTTGGATAAAAGATGTTTTACCGTTGACAGATCTGGCGTTCAACAGCACCATCTTCAACCCGGGGGGACTGCCAGCCTGGGTACACCCACTTGCCTTGTCAGGAGACCGGTTACATGTTATTAAATTTTTTGTAATTTCTTTTTTTTTATTTCTAAACCGATTTTGGGGTGGTAGTTGTCTACCATTTTGGGGCCGAATTAATGGTCGAATTACTGGTCTCCCTTTCCCGCATCTCCCCCTCCCCGTTAAGGTTTCTATGGGGGCCCCTCGACCAATGGAATGCCCCTCTCCATCCATATTGCACTTCAACGTTACAACCTCATCCAATGGTTCCCTCCAACCTCTTTCCTTCGTTAATTCTCTCTTCTGCCATCTTAGTTCATTCCAGTTGTTCCACCCTCCTTCCCCTTCTCTATTTGCCAGCAATGTTATTAGCAAATACCATAAAATGAGGGTAGACATGGGTGTTTACAGAACAATGATAAAGCAGGTCATAAAGTGCAGGTTATAAAGTGCTGTTACTAACCTCCTCAAATTAATAATCACTTGGAGGATTGAGGTAGTATGGTATCACAGGGGGGTCAAAGTGCACAAAGTTTAAAGTGCACGAGATTTTAAAGTGCTCACGATTTCAAGATTTTAAAGTGCGCAATTCTAAAGTGCGGTATTCACTAGCTCACTAACTAAGTGCAATTGGTTGGATAAGTGCAATAGGATGGAGGATAGAGGACTGGTAGCATAGGGTAAGAGCGGCT